CATCAGATATCAAGTTAACCTGAGTAGCACCAGAGTGATGAATGAACGTTCAATGAACGTTTCATTTAAGGTACTGCGAACGTGCCATGAACGTCCTTCTATTGACTATTTAAATAACCGAAATCTAGAGCAAAGCAGTTCCAATAATGCACTCCCTGAACTTTCATAAAGGACTTGACTTGAATAACTCGAAGCAAAACCAACATGTTCAAAGAACTTCCTCTTCCAGGATTCATCCAACTAGCAATTAAAACCCTGAAAACTGTCATTTCATCATTTTAATTGCATTAAACCAAAATACAGCCCTGCTTCCGAAACAGGGGCCAGAGGCAATCTCCGTAGCTGAACTTTTCTTAGTTTCGTTGGAAGTACTACCTTTCCTCATGTAGAGGGACAGTACTCCCAAACCCTTATGGGAATTAAAATTTCTTTACAAGACAGAACTGTTCCCGATATATCTATCAGGGCAGCAGTTCTTTTCCTGCTTCGACATAGCGTATTGAAATAGATACGGAGTGTAGAAACTTCCATCTAATGCGATCTCTAAACGCCCCAGACTGAGTTTCCTTTTGAGAGTCCAATAGCATGCACTTTTTGATGCTCATCCAAGTGCCTTCACATGGAGTCAAGTTGGAAGTTGAACCATCCTCCCTACATCCCCTGAGCCTGAATTTTCTGGAGACTCCCTGGGGCGTTACGTCTTTAGACCGACTTGTTGAAGAATGCAAAAGTCGGTTGTGGTCCTCTGTGGTGCCTGTGTAGAAAGATCGAGCACCGTGCGAAAAATATTGTGGACTATTTCCAGCGGTATCAGGTGTTGACTCACTAAAGCGGCTACTTCGAAAGGACAGCGCTGGAGTGTACCCTCCACTCCACTATCAGCTGAAGCTATTGTACATTCTCAATATCTAACTACTTTTCAATAATTGCTGATGGTATGGCACAATACATATGCATGTTGAATTGCAATTTCAGTTGAACATTCATATACAAGGTATGTAAAGTATATCTTTCTCGAAAATAGCTCTGTTGTGAGCGAAGATATTTGGATTAAATGTCGTTGATCATTGTTTTGCTAAATCTGTATGTAGTTTCTTAACCTAAAAAAAAATCCTCCCATGAGAGCTTACCACTTGGAACTGGAGGAGGAGGAACAGCAGCAGCAGCAGCAGCTTCTTCTGCTTCAGGCAGAGGTAGCTCTTGTGGTCCTGCAAAAGGCCTTGATGTAGCTCACGCATATTGATACAGGAAGCTCATTATTTTACTACACTCTTGCCTTTTTCAAGCACTTACCTCCTTGAACAGCAGCAGCAGCGGCAGCTTGTTCTGCTTCGGGTAGAGGTGGCTCTTGTGGTCCTAGAAAAGGGAATGCGAAAGTCATTGGTGTAGCTCATTACAGCATACGCATTATTTTACTCCTCCTTTGCCTTTTTCAAGCACTTACCTCCTTGAACAGCAGCAGCAGCTTGTTCCACACCTAATTGAGGTAGCTCTTGTGGCCCTGCAAAAAAGGAATATATAAAGCATTGATGTACCTCTCACACACTGGTATAGCATGTACATTCCTACAGTGCCATCCTGAACTGACCTCTGGGAGCAGCAATGGTAGCGACGAGAGCAGGGACTGGTTCTCCAACTGCTTCAGGAGGAAGCAGAAGTCCCTCTGGAACTTGCGCTGTGCAGAAAAAATAATAGGCATTGAGAGGAAAATTATAATTGAAGTAGCAATTGAAGTTACAATGCAAAAAGTTGAAGCCAAATTGGATAACTACACTTAAGCAGCTCGAGGTGCAAAAAAAAAAATCTCATGATTTATATTCCCGAACAGGGAGAGGGCAGGGGGGCAAAAACGAGCAAAAGTGTCAAAGACAAGCGGGTGCGGACTGGTGGGAGGAGGGGAGTTTGGGGCACTAGCATAGCCGACCACCATCTGGTCCTCCCTGCTTGAACTTCTGGTCAATGAGAGTGATCGTCCTTCACCCTTCTGCTGGGGGTGTGGCGAGCACATCCACCATTAGAGTCCATCATAAAACCCTTGTTTTGCTTGCACTTGCTTCATGATTTTTGGCACAAACATTGACAAAATTTAAGACTTCCTTCGTCCCCATGAAGCAGATAGGAAATTTTTTTCGTTTTATTACTAATTGAATTGGACGTTTTTTCTTGTTTTATCCAATAGATAGTATAGACGAGAGGAAAGTGCATTGCATTACTTTTGCTTGTCTGAGTGCGTGATAAAGTCTGAAACTAACCTGCACCTGCGACAAGAACTGGAATTCCATCCAGGGTATGTCGGCAGCGGCAAAGATATTCGTACACTGTCAACCTAGGAAGAAAGTGCATCATGATAATGGCAAAATGGCCAAGTCACCCTTAGCAAATTCATTCATTTGGTGAGGACATCCATGAACAATAGTTAGGTTAGAAAAAAAAAGTATTTATTCAGGATACTCACTTTATACTCCATTTGATGAATAAGGCTTTGAAAATTTCGGATTCGGAGCAAAATTGTACACGTTTTCAGGAGAACTTTTCGGATTGCATGTTAATATTTTTCTTTGCACTTTTAATTTAAATATTTTCCTTCTGGTATTCATTTTTTTATTGGAGGCAATGCCAATATTTTTCTTGTTGCAAATCTAGCCTAACCTTGCCTAAAGTTTTGGGAACTTTCAAATTTCGATTTTAAAAAGTATTTTTGCGTGCAAATAGTGACACACTACCCAACCATATATTTTTCACTTGGAATGATTATGGAGTCAAAATTGAGAAACGCTTATCTATCACAACTTGTTCAAACTATAATCAATTTTATTTACGGACCAACACTTCTTACTTATCAAGCACCCTTGAATCAAATGAGTCCCACAAGACGGCCTTTCCCTCATAAATGCAAGTACTTACACAAAAATTTCCACGGGTCTGGATGAGCTATGCCAAACTTCCTTAGGAGTCCAGCATGATAGCTCTCCATGACGTTGTTTGTCCGTCTCGGCTGCCCCTGTACACTTAGTTGCTCTGCTCCAACCCCTCGCACCCAAGTGCTGTCCAGGTATGCGAAGAATCTAATTAAAAAAAAGGTGCATGCAATCATTTCTCTGAGGTTGAAACCTCATAAACCATAGTGCAACGTTTCTACGAAATATGATGCTTGAATGCCAAATATACAAATGTTACTCTGCATTCATAAATATTTTGAATAGCCCAGAAGAAATTGGTCAAATTGACATTTTGAAAGTAAGCATTGAATATCTTCAAGAGCCATGAGTATTCTTCAAAAAAGTTTAATTACTTTCAACGTCAAATTATATTCTCCTTTTTAGTCTGACTAAGGTCTAAGGTCAGGTTGGAGTAATTGAAATCCATGGATACCATGTAAGAAATATTTAGTCAAGATGCAAGATACATGAGCTTTCATGTAAGAAATGTTTGGTGTTTACTCCTTACCCTCTCTTGCTGTTAGCTTGAAAATAAAGTGAAGGCTGTCTGGGGTCTCTTTTGCCCCCATACTGTTTCTGACTAAATTTGACTAGATTCATGGTGGCAGCAAGAGTTAGATAAGTTGATCATCATTTATGGACAGTATGCAACATATACAAATAAGAAATAAACAAATCTAGCCTAACCTTGCCTAAAGTTTTGGGAACTTTCAAATTTCGATTTTAAAAAGTATTTTTGCGTGCAAAAAGTGACACACTACCCAACCATATATTTTTCACTTGGAATGATTATGGAGTCGAAATTGAGAAACACTTATCTATCGCAACTTGTTCAAACTATAATAAATTTTATTTACGGACCAACACTTCTTACTTATCAAGCACCCTTGAATCAAATGAGTCCCACAAGACGGCCTTTCCCTCATATATGGCAAGTACTTACACAAAAATTTCCACGGGTCTGGATGAGCTATGCCAAACTTCCTTAGGAGTCCAGCATGATAGCTCTCCATGACGTTGTTTGTCCGTCTCGGCTGCCCCCGTACGTTGTTTAATCGTTGCTCTGCTCCAACCCCTCGCACCCAAGTGCTGTCCAGGTATGCGAAGAATCTAATCAAAAAAGGTGCATGCAATCATTTCTCTGAGGTTGAGTCCTCATAAACCATAGTGCAACGCTTCTACGAAATATGATGCTTGAATGCCAAATATACAAATGTTACTCTGCAGTCATAAATATTTTGAATAGCCCAGAAGAAATTGGCCAAATTTTGAAAGTAAGCATTGAATATCTGCAAGAGCCATGAGTATTCTTCAAAAAATTTTAATTAGCTTCAACGTCAAATTGAAAAACATGAAAATGCAGACAACTTCCCAAGTACTACAATAACGTTCTCGAATGCGTTCAACCAGTGTTCAAATAAATTTTGGGACGTCCAAAGTTCACAGATGAGCAAATTTTGGGCGCTCAGTTAAGGTGCCGTTTAATCACAATACATGACGACTTTGACGGACACTTTTTGAACGCTAAAGAAACTTTTCTTTAAGCATATCTACTATGCATCAAGAAGTGGCTCGAACAAAGGTTCGCACTGCCAAAGCCAGATGATGTCAAAGTAACGGCTTTAGCAAGTCAACACCTGATACCGTTGGAATTAGTCCACAATACTTTTCGTACGGTGCCCGATCTTTCTACACATGCACTACAAAGGAAGACCGACTTGTTGAATTCTTCAACAAGTCGGTCTAAAGAAGTAGGGTGGATTTTTGAACAAAGAACTATCCAATAATGCTGCTTCATTTCCAGGAAATTTCATGTTTTTTCCCTGGAACAAAGCTGCATTATCGGATAGCTCTCTGTTAAAAAAATCCACCATCTCCAGGAAGTCTCCAGATAATTCAGGCTCAGAAGATGTAGGGAGGATGGTTCGACTTCCAACCTGACTCCGTGTGAAGCCACTTGGATGAGCATCAAAAAGTGCACGTTATTGGACTCTCAAAAGGTAACTATTGGATTCGATGGAAGTTTCCATACTCTAAACGCTTAGGGAATACATACTTCAGAGTGATCATTTTTATCGCTCTAAATTTCAGACATTTCAACAGATAAGGAACGTTCCATACCTTAAATGAAAAGTTCATTGAACAGTCATGAGACATTCCGGTGTTACTTGAGTTTGGGAATTCATGGCACTTAATAATGTTCGGTATTTTTTTCAACTAGTTCGTTCTGAATCATGCGATGAATGCAGCGGAAACAAAAACGAATAATAGTTACAGGCAAAGTTTGAGTGAATGAAGGGTTGGGTTTGCAAGGTTCAACTACTGAGGAATATTTTTTTTACTTGCCACTAACCGATTAATCCCTAGGTTTGCATATGGGGCCGCCCGATTTGCTAGGTCCTCAACCCCTTGAAGAACAAGGTTTGCAGGAAGAAGAGGAAGAGCCATAGCACAACGAACCAGAGACCCTGGTGGGTTCCTGTCCCACAATCAATCCATGGAGCCCCAGCTGCATAGCTTTCCTGAAAAAAGCCTGCATCAAAGATAAAATGGAACTGTAATTATTTGTTAGTTAATAATGCTTGAGTGAAATCAGGGGGATCGCCTGCTGACTTGAGCGAAATGAAAAAGACAGCCTATGACAGAGGCATTCTCGAACACATCTCCTAATGCTCCCCTCAAAGCATGCTCATAATCTGTTATCAGGCTGTGAAGATCCAGAGCTGGTAGTTCTTGGCGAATCCGTCTCAGGGTGATCCTATATATTTCCCTGGTTCGCCTCGTCATCAGGGCGAAAGCCACTGGGAACCCCTGTTAATGAATGAATAGCAACAATATTAGAAATGATCCAAGTCGTTAAGTAAATTTTAGGTATAATGGGGAATTTACTCACGTGATCCTGGGAAATCCCAACCAATGTGAGCAACATGGACGGAACTACCTTAAATGTTCCATCCGCATGAAGTCAAATTCTCCGCAGTGGCTTGCCACCACGGGAGATATGAAAATAAGGGCCTCGCTTCCTGGATCGTTTAAATCCTGTAATGGACATGACATATTCCGGAATACATGGAATATACAATATATAGCCGACAATTTGACCGACAAACTTGTTAATGACTCACTGTGACATGAGCCCTATAAAAGGGCTGGCCGTTTATTTCCCCCAATGGTCCCTGGAGTGCTGCGCCAAATGCAGTTGGTGTTCTAGGAAGACCTGCCGGTCGGCTTGTCACCCTGCTCCGGGACATGATTCCTTCGGCCTGTCTGTAGTCAACGACAGCTCCCGTCCTCAAAAGAACGCAAGTTGACCAATAATGAATGCATCAAGAGGACAGAATATTAAAGCACCCCAACTTTATTTGAAGTAATTGAAATACTCATTCCCCCTCAACGACAATATTTGGTAAATAATCCAATACCAGTATTGAATAGAAAATTTTCTGAATTAAGAAAGCACTCGCTTTTGTGTTTCCATATATGATGTTCAAGATCTTTGTCTATTTGCAACTCTATCATGGCAAAAGCGCATGCTTCAAAGATTCGAGAGACCTAACAAAAAGGGATACGGATTCAAATAGCAAGAATTTGCTAATAAAATATTGCATGACTCACTACTTACTCGTCTAACACTCTGTCATAGATGTCCCGAAGTCGTGTGCTTTCATGTGATGCCCTCTGTCGCATCATGCTTCGTGCCTTCAGTTCAAGTTCATTTTGAGGAGAGGGTTCATGTGTGTGGGGCCTTTTCCCGATGAGAAGCCCATTTTGCAGCTTTGCGGTGGCGCTGCAATAGCTCTCCCTGCATGCCAAGTATGAGATGTTATTTCGGATGCTTGTGAGCTTGTACGTGTATCCTCCTGATGCTATTATTCGCGTGTCTTTCCTCTTTCCCTCCAATTCTTCATAAGCCGCCATCTAAATAAAAGAATCATCAGGTGCCTCTGAGAAAGGTGTATGACTGTTACCGCAATTTGAGGCGTCGGGAATCTTCCCGTTCTCTTCTGAAAAAACCGAGCTAGAGGAAATGAGAGATCTGCTAGAGAATAAGGTTTTCATGCGAATGACCTGGAAACTGAAGCAGGTCAAAAATGGTATCTCTTACTCTGTCAAGGATATGTATAAAGGATAGGTACAAGATGAGTCAAATGTCTGGAATCAATAGTATATTTAGCTAATATAATAGTTATTTGCTTATATTTAGAATTTTTATTTATGTTGGCAGTGATATGGAAGTGACAAAGGACGAATGCTTATGCCGATTGGAACTTTGAATAATAAAGAATGACGGCCACATAAAGCACCTTCAACATTCCCCTATTGATTCCAGATTCTTGACTCATACTGTAGTATGAGACTTTGAAAACCTTTCTTTGAAAAACAAAAGTAGCCTTTTTGCTTCTTTTTTTTTCCCTCTGCACTCATGATGCTCCTGACCTCTCTTTGGGTTTTCCGACTTTCAGATTAATGTCTTCAATTATTGGTGAATGGATGACTGCAAGTAAGAAGTTTGATAACATGCAGAATTTTTTTACTTCTGAGCTAAAAATTTACAACTGTGCTATATTTACGCCTTTTCCTTTGAGTACAGTGCCCCATCCAAAGAGGTCGTAGGGACATATGCCCCTGTCGCGCTGTTCATATTAATGCCCCTGAGCCAGCTGATGCATAGGCTGGTCATACACGATTGCGCGCTCTCCTCCATTTCCTTCAATCATGAAAACACGCGAGGAAACCCGACATCAAGCTTTATGATTGCGAGATTCTGAGGACAAGTGTGTCCATTTTGGATGCGACACTGAAGTAGCATCCTTATTAGAATACAGGCAGTGGCGTTTTGCTAAACGACGTTTCAATTTTGGCAATCGAAAGAGGGAGTGAGTAGGTTACAGGCTGTCTCACTCAGCAAGAACAAAATAAACCTCCTTTTTGGAGACTTCCCGCGCACTGGGAGTTCACCAAGAAAGATGTAACGGCATGCACGTGGATGGTGAATCAGTTAGGATGTAATGTCACTGCTATCAAAGGAGGATGTCATGCTTTCGCTTATTCCTGTTAACATTATGAAAGGCGATGACAGAAGGAAAGTTTTATCTTCGCCCCAGTATTCTAAACTTGGCAACGTGCGCTTACTCGCAGATCGTAGTCTGAAAAGTTGCAGAACCCCACCTATCCCCTAACTATGAATTAACGCAGGACAAGTATTTTGGAATCTAACCAGAGTAAGCAAAGTACGCCTTTGTTTTAGAAAATGCACTCGAAGAAAGTGAGCATCACTTCCATGTAGTGTATGTAGAGGGTATTCGTATTTAAATACGAACAACTTGTATTAAAATCAATATATCTAAATGATTAAATTCTACTTTTCCATGACGTAGCTTCCAAGAATGAAAACTGAAACATCACGGTAGTTTAGGCGTTGTTATTCGTCACGTAAATTGGACAAAACGGAAAAAAAAATTTAAACGAATGCTTCGGATGTTTGAGAACTGAAAAGGAATTCCAATAGTTGATAAAAAGTATTCGCAGTACACGTCTGTAGCGAAACCACTGACTTATTTCAGAATTAAGGCATATCCAAGTAGGGCAGTAAAGAAAAGGTTAGGAATCAAGGCACTCACCTTTTTCGACCGGTCGTGAATAAGAAGAGCAAGGAAACCACTGACCTCAGCAAGGTGAACTTCAGCAATGACTTAACGGAGGTCCTTTGAGTAGGGGGCGTCTTGAGGGAGGGGGTGTGTCTTCTTTGGCTTTCATCTGTCTTCCCGCATTCTTATTTTCCATTGGCTGCAGTGCCGGATACAGATTTTATTCAAAGGGAACGCTTCTCTAGTTCCCCCCCCCCCCAACTCCCTACTTTCATCCTCCGTCCTATCGCCTTTTTTATTTTTCATCCGCAGTAAAACTTCATATCCAAAAATCCACATCCAGGGCCGCAACTCAAGTATCAATATTTGGTATACCTTTTAAATAATGTTTTTATTATTATAAAAAAAAGAAATGGATTGCGAACCCAGCCGTAGGGGTGGCGGTCGCCCTCCTGTAGGCGGTTGATTGGCTGGTGCTAACCTCTTGAAACCGAGCGTCCAATATTGTGGGTTCGTGGTCTGCTATTTTGATTACGAAGTGCCTGTTGTCTAGTGAGATGGGAATATGTTTACGCATCGCAAAGCACTATCACGAATATCAATGAAATTCAATTTTAAAAGGAAACTTTTATTCAAATTAATTTTTAATTTAAAATGTTAAAATTTTACACTTAAATACTTTTTAAGGCAGTTCAAATAAATTAAGTGGCACGAATTTGAAACAAAAAGTTTTTATTGCATTTCTCAACACCTTATAATAAAGGAGCCAAATATCTGCAAGTAATATTCTGGTCGTCCGAAGAATGAACTGGTAGCACTGTCAGTAGTGGAACGTCAATCTACCTCACGCAAAGTTTCAACCAGGACTTTGAAACAGGCTGGGGACCATGGAATGCAGTGGGGGAAAAAACAAGTGGGTAATCGTCCTTTATATTCTAGCAGAGATATGATGGAATGCCTATTTCGGTTCAAATCGAGAGTGATATAATCCTTGTTTCGACTAGAAGAGATTCACGAAAATTTCCCAGGAAAATAAAAAGATTGGCCAAGTCGAGACCCTTGGCCCGGGCCCTCTTTTTCGCCTCAGGCGTTTCGGTCCGGACCGGCCCAGGCCCGGGAAATTCCTGGGCCCGGCTCGGGCTTTGACCTAGTCGAAACATTTGGCCTTATTTTTTACATGTATTTCTTTAAAACAAAATAATAGAAATAATAAATTATACTGAAGAAGAGAATTCATAATGTTTCCATATGCTGTCATAGAAATATCATGGTCTCTTAGGACCATTTGAGAATAGCATGCTATCAAACCAATATGCAAGAATCGAAGAGCAAGAACATACAGTGAAACAGCCTACCTAAGAAATTGATACGAGGTGAGAAAAGGATCTTTTCCTCCCTCAGGGTGTATTCCCGGGCCTTAAAAATGCTGTTGAGCCAGAAGGGTCAGACATCTAATAAGACAGCTAATGAAAAATGACACTTCCCGGGAAAACCTAGACCCGGGAATTTCTTCAAGTCGAAACAAAGCTATAGAGGCGAGTTCAATTTATCAAGAAGGGATCCAAATTTTTCGCCTTTTTAGTGAGATATAGATTATCTCCCATAAGAAAAGTTGAAATCAGGTGTACCCTCTCTGATGAAAGGCTGCCACTTCTTTTCCTCCTTCCAAGACAGAAACGAATGGTTGAGAGTGAGCAGCAGGTGGCTCAAACAAAGCACCTGATTTTCCTCATTCTTGTTCCTCCAAGGGCGTCGGAAGCGTGGGAGCCGGGGGCAAAAGCCCCCCCCTTATCCACCCCCTTTTTCTAGGGGGCATTTTTGACCCCATCATCTTCTTATATGCATATCTCTCTCTTGCTGATCGAGGGGTTTCTGGATCTCGTACTCCCACAGCAATAGTCACTCTTATCTCTGGGCATTTGCCTATTCCCCACCTTCCATACTTTCCAGCGCGTTCCTACGCTTATATCGTTCTACTAGACAAGTTCCTAAAGAAAAAAAAATCGACAGGGCAGCAAAGATACAGCAAAGTCATACTGGAGATCTGTCAATGAATATAGATTACTCTCTGCTAACGGTACTAGTCCTCAATCTGAAGCTCTTCCTTGCATTCGTCTTTTTCTCAGAAGCTGATATGGGATAAGATGATTGCACTCTTTGAACGCATCTTGGAATTTGTTTTCAAATATCAATTGCTGTGGGATCATGTAATGTTTTTTGTTTTTTCTCCCTTCGGGAGAAAAACGGGGGAATCATCGGGGGAAAAACTGCCCCGGGCAGTTTGTCCCCCGATGCCCACCCTCTTGAAGTCTGCTCAAGCATTGCATTGAGATGAATCCATGCTCATTGTTGAACAGAGTCCTTTTTCCCTTCGTAATGAAAGTAGGAAAAGAATATTTCCATAGATTTAAAGAAGTGCTTCCAATCAAGCCATGCTTTGCATATTCCATCGCTTTATTCTCAATGAATTGGAACAAAAAAGCAGTATTATATTGCTCTAATAATTAGTGGAAATTCATCCTTAAATATTAAAAAAAAACATAGATAATAATCAGCCACATATTTGCATGAATGTGTCTCAACGTTGCCAAGTGAATGTCTTTACTCATCTGATATGCATAAATATATATATACATGAATAATTACGAAACTACCACTCAGGTAGCTTTCTTGCATTTTCATCTCGGATGGCTCATTCCGAACCCCGAGAACTTCAGGCTGTCTCTCTCACAGCAAGAACAAGTATGTCCTCCTTTCTGGAGGAAAGTTCCCCATTGCACATCGTTCATCGAGCCATATTTAAAGGCATGCATGTGACTAGTGTTCCGTTTTGATGCATCCATGCCACAGCGGCCGTCATTAGAAAATTCACATATCTGTTATGACATCCCCCCCATAGAGGCTAGGACATGGATCACGCAGGCACATCTTATCTCGAATATACGAAAAAACGCCCACTGAAGAAATGCCCACGGAAATAATGCCCACAGACAAAACGCCCACAAGAAAAAATGCCCACGGAAAAAACCCCCATACCTGCAAAGTAAGAAAAAATGCCCACGTGAATATTTTTCTGGGTTTTATTAATTTTTTATTCTGCAGAAAAGCATCTCATTTATGGCATTGCCATAAAGAGCTGCGTTGATTTTGCAGAGTTCGTTTGATGGATGCCTCTGATGGCAAAGCGCACGAGCATCGTCATCCAAATGCATCATGGCTTGCGAGTAGATAACACCTGGCTTGTCACACGTCTTGGCCGCTCGCTGCTTCATGGAGACACATTTGTTGATCTTGATAGCTGTCGTGTCCGGAGCATGGTTATGTGCTGNG